TCAGAATTAGACTTATGTAAGTTGTATAGAGGTTTTTCCAGATTATTATATCTTTACTAAAATATCTTCTCTATTTGCAAGTCAAGATCAAACACTCTTACCTTCACTTAGGCATAGGTCTAGATTACTCTCAAAATCTCCAAATTATAATTCTAAATCAATATTATAAAATTCAAAAATAAAAGCAAAAAAAAAAAATTCACTCTTGAAATAATAGTTACCCGATTGATGAAGCACGTGATTTAACAAAGTTTTAAAGAATATTATATAATGAAATTATCTATTATTATCATATAGAACTATAAAGAGACTCTGGTTAGCTGTTATATGCCAGTTTCGCCACCTAATCGAAAGCACTTTATTTAGTTGAATTACTTGACTTATAAAAAAAGCATAAGTAACAACTCCAATAAACCTCCGATATATCTCAAAGACTCGATATCACAACAAGACTAAAATAAGTTTATCATAATTTTGGTTCTTTTATAAATGTCATCGACTTGCATATTACAATTACAGCGAACAGTTCTTTTTTATCAATTAATACTAAAATAAATTTTTATTTTATATTCATATATAATATACATCATCATATTATATATTGAGCAATTTAATACTTATGCTCATTCAAGCGTGTTTGACACAGAAATCTTGGCAACCATTGCAAGGTAATGGCGAAAAAGAGTCGCTGCACCTTTTTTTCATATGAAAACGTGAACAAAAGTTTATGCAAGTGTCTAACTTACATAAACTTGAATTTATTAATATATATATATATATATATATATATATATATATATATATATATATATATATATATATATATATATATATATATATATATATATATATATATATATATATATATATATATATATATATATATATATATATATATATATATATATATATATATATATATATATATATATATATATATATATATATATATATATATATATATATAGACTTTTTTCTGTATAATGAGAACCATAGATTTAAAAATATTTATAAGGGAATTTTTAAAGCAGGGTCAGTTATTTTAATAAATTGGTCGGTTACTTTAATTAATACTAACAGGGTCAGTTACTTTAATTAATACAAAAGTAACAACAAACGCAGCAATTCTTATAATATTATAACTACTGATTCTTTCAATAATAATATACATAAAGCTATAATATAAATTGATTTTCCTCTATAATAAAAACTCCTTTTCCTCCATTCCTGAAACTTAATAAATCAAACCCAAAAAAAAAACAATAATAACAAAATTAATAATAAGAAAACACTTTTATACTGAGGCTTACCTTAAATTATTTAAAGACCAACTATCATTACTGCGTTGGAAAAACAAAAATTTTGATGATAACGCAAATAACATTTCTGAAACTTTTTTCAAAACATTTTTTTCTGTTTATGAAGTTAATATCCCAGTTATCATCGAGAATAAAACAAATAGCAAAAAAACTTATGCCAACTACATAAACCTATTTGAAAAATTTTGCAAAATTCAAAGAAAAATATGGCTCCAAAGTATTCAATACATTTTAAAACGACACAAAGCGCACGGGGCAAACAATGAAAGAAATTATCAAAAAAAAAAAAAATCATGCTCCGGTTTTCTGCCACAAATAGTTACAGGCGATAGCAAACATTTTATTAGAACCAAGACTTATAGCTTAAGAGTCTAACAAAGTTTTTACTGAAAAAATACCAAATCTTTATTTAGTGTATATCTAGAACTCATGGATAGTTGCATTTGTTCAGATAAGTTGTATTCCGAATTAAAGTTAAATGAGTTTAATAGAGTCTTTAAATCTGTTTAAAAAGTAAAGCAATTGGAGCAGACCAATTTAATTGATAGATTGCTTCTTTTTTTTTAGAAAAATTCAAAGCTTCTATTCATCATAGAGTACTCCCAGGTCAATTAAAAAATGCAAAAAAATTTCTTCCTAAAGAAGGGGATAAATCTGAAAATAGTATTTATCGCCCCTTCTGTTTGCTTTGCATTTTCAAAAATTCAAGAAAAAATTATGTTCAACAGAATATACAAACATTTTCATGATAACAATCTAATTTACAGCAATCAATTTGGTTTCAAGAAAGATAACTCAACCGAACATGCAATAATCGATTTATTACGTGAAATCTCAAAATCATTTGAAAAATCACAATATAAACTAGAAAATTTTTTGACCAATCAAAAGCTTTTGATACAGTCAATCACCATACTTTAATTAATAAATTCAAATACTGCGGAATAATAAAATTTTAAATCAGTTTAAAAGTTATCTATCTAACCGAAAATAATTTGGATCATTTAACTATGATTATTAACTTTTCGTAATACCACATGTGAAGTCCCACTAGTTTCAATTCTAGAACCTCTCCATTTTAAAATTTATATAAAAATTATTGAATTTACAATTTATATAAACATTATTAAATAAAGCTTCAAAAGTAATGAGCATAATGTATGCAAATGATACAAACTTATTCCTTTCTAACTATGATACCGCTGAACTTTTTAAAATCGTAAACGAAGAAACTCAGATATGTAATCAGTAGTTTTATTTTGAGAAATAATTCTCTTTGGAATAAAATTGTTTTGTCAAACTTTAATTTTGAAGTACTTATTACTTATTACCTTTTTAAAAATAAACTAAAAAACCTCATTCTTATATTAGGTAATATATTGAGTTATTAGTAGTATTATAAATTTATTTTGGTCTTCTTTTTAATTGTTTATATATATGTCTACGTTTATAGAAGTTTATTCCTACTTGTTTAATGTTCTTATACTTTTGTATGTTTTGTATATATGTTGGTTTACGCCTGTATAAAATTTTTGTTGAGAACATCCTCTTGATCTTTCTTTAGACTCATAGTTTATTTACATTGCAAATTTGTAAATGTTTATTATTTTATGTTTATCTTACCTTTGTTAAATGCTTATTTAAAGTTTTTACGACTCGATCCTCGCGAACTTCTTTCAGATGATCTTGTTAATATTTGTTATATTTTCTATCATTGTAAGTTTATATTATTATTTTTATTATTGGTTATTTTAAGTTTACAACGATCAACAAATGTAAACAAACAAAAACAAAACGAAAAAACAATAAAATTCTTTAAAACTATTCATTTATTATTATTGTAAATAAATGCAAACTCTTATCCTTGAAATGGTATATCTGTTTCAGTTTTATATTTTCTTGTGCAATTTTATGCATCATAATAAAAATTAATAAAAACTAAATAAATGCAAAAGCAAACTTAACGTATAATTATTTTTTTTTTGCCACAAACTAAAGTCACAGCGCAAAATTTGTTTGCTTTAACTTATAGATCAGCGTTTTATAGCTAAGGCCGCAATTTTTAACCAAGGTAATGGCGAGAAAGAGTGTTTTTATATACTTATATAAACTTCGAACTATGAAATGTTAAAACATATTAAAACATACATTAAGTTTTACTCTTTCACTTTTTATTAAAAACTGTATTGCAGCAACATCACTAAAATTTTAAATTATAGAATTTATTTATCATTTTTTGTTTATTTAATAGCGTTAAAATCTTTCATAATCAATACACCTTAGAGATGAATTTATTTGCTCTTTAAAATGAACTTCATTGCATAGCAATAAAGGATGTTAAAAACAGCTTTATTGCATAGCAATAAAGTTGCATTTATTTAGAGAACCCTCTTGAAAAGTAAGTCTGAAAATCTAATTTAGAGAATCCTGCCTAAAATATGTTTTTATGCAAATTTAAATAATGCTTTATACATGATCTGGTGTTATAGAAATTTTTTATTTCTAATAATTAAAAGCCAAGTTAAATTATTTTGTTGTAAACTTAGTTTGTTTAAAACTAAGTCTAATTTTTATTTTTAATGTTGCTAATAGATTTTCTCCTGAAAACAGATTTTATAGTTGGTTTTTTAACAAATCTTTTTTATAAAAAAAAAAAGAATTGCAAAAATTACGTTATAATAAAGTAGGTTTTTAAGTCTATTTTTCATGTAGTTATTTTTGATAAACGATTTTATTTTAATTAATTTTATTATTGCGGAATAATTTTTTTCAAATGTAAATGTATTGTATTATCCGTCACGAAAAAAACAACTATTTATAAGAAAAAACTCAATTTTCATTTAATGATGAATGGTGAACTATTCCACCAAAAAAACTTTTGAATGTTAAATTAAAATCTCTTGATCTTTGATATTATTAAACTTTACTATTAAAATAATTTGTTGCATAGATGAGCAAGTGCCAAGAGCCAACTTTATCCACTATTCTGGTAAAACACAGTAGTTGTGGGTAAACATATGCATTTATTTATTTTTTATTTATTTATGCTTAACCATTGTTGCTTTTTGCTCATAAGTTTTGTTTGTGAAATTTTTTACAAACCAAATATATATCCAATTTAACAACAATTAATAACGACTAGTGCATTTAAAACAGCACTACAGTATTACGATGAATTACCAAAAACAGTTTGTTTGGTTTCCAGCTCATAAATGTGATGACTTTTTTTCTTTTAAATTTATAAGTATGAATTTAATTACCTTTTTTTTAGATTATTTGAATGTGGTGAATAGGTTTAGAGAAACGAAATCAAAAGTTGCTATAATTTGTTAATTTGTAAATAAATAAGCGTTCAAAAATATTTTTGTTTTACAAAGTTTTCATTTTTTGCAATTTGACCCGTATTTTACGGGTCGCATTGCTACTATATATAAAACATAGAGATTTTCCTCTAAAGATTGATTTTTGCATTTATGAAATTTCTCAATATCTTTATTTTACTATAAAAAATTAGATTTTTGTCAATAATTTTTAGCTGGAAATTGAAACCTTTAATTATCTGCAAAACAATAAAGTGTGCTTCTAGTCATTTACAATTCCTATCTCATGAATATTTAAAAACTATGACTGTATTATAATAAATTAAAAAAAAATTAGAAAAAACCACCATAAAAATCTAACTTGGTACAAATAAGTTTCTTATGTATCCTGGTTGTGAATCATACCATGAATCGCTGACATAGATTTGAATGTTTTCAAATACTCGGGGGTCATTGTTTTGCACTGTATGAACGGTTCCCCCATCAATTTCGACAGCAAAAAAGTAGTTTCCATTACTTAAATACTGTTTCAAAGTAAACTTTGTCCATTTCATCAATGATAACGGCTTTGTAAAGATTTGATAGTTGCCATTTCCGTTCACGGGTGTATTAATTTCTGCAACCGTGGTTTCACGAGTTGAAAGAAAGACGGACGAAATTCTTGTTCCGTAATCACAACAATCAATTCCATTTGTGAAATGAATAATGTTTGTAATTTCGGTTGAAATTGAAGTTAGATAAACCTCAAAGGATATTTCATACTGTTTAGGCATTGTTAAGGTTGTTAGATAATGGCCTTTTATTATCTCTATCGGCTCTTTTACTAGAATCATCTCTAAAACAATTAAAAACAATATTCTTAGTTGTAACAATAAAAATTTGAAGCGAGGTAAAAGTAGTTTTTTAACAAACTAAGAGCTAATAAAAAAATAATTAAAAATGATAAAAAAAAGAAGAAGAAAAAAAAAGTTTTTTCTGTTTTGTTTTTTTATTTTGTAAATTTCAACAGACGTGTTTCTGAAAGCTGGTTTGAATTTAATAAAAGAAAAATCATAATAAAATACTTAATCATATTAAAATAAAAAAAGAATTTTTGGAAATTACATTAAAAGATATCACGAAGTTAATTACTAAAAAACTCAAAGAACAAGAAAAAAAAGGGTAACTTAAAAGAAACGCCTGTTATATAATCAAGAAAAAATATTTACTGAGTTAATTTGAGCAAATTGTATTCGTAAAATATGCGTAAAACGCAACTTTAAGAAAGTCTTCCAAGCAAAAAGCAATTTTATTCTAAACGTAAATATCATTGCACACTATTTTAACTTGTTGCTGCTTTTTTTCTTCGGTTTAGAAAAAAAAATAAGAGTAATTTTGATCACCTTTTTGTATTTCTTATTTTTTACTGGATAGCAAATCACATGTTTAAGTTCTTTCTCACAAATGCATAAATTGATAGCAAAACACATGCTTAAGCTCTTTCCCACAAATGCATAAATTGATAGCAAAACACATGCTTAAGCTCTTGCCCACAAATGCATAAATTGATAGCAAAAGCTTTTACGATCAACTTCATTAATGTTGAAAAAGCATAAAAATGCCAATATTTAGCTTTATTGGACCACTATTTTTTTAATATTGGGCTATTATTGCAAAAAACATTACTTTCAAATTGTATACAAATATATTTACCAATACTTTATACATATTGGGCTAATTTATAAATAAAACATTGAGCCAATATTGCCAAATGACATTATAATTAGGTCCAATACTGTTGCCAATATTGTGCTAATATTGAACATTGTTTGCTATTTAGGTAAAGAATAAATTAATTTTGTATATAAAACTGTTAATATATATTTTGATTCATTATGAAGTTTTAACGGGCGTCACTTAGCAAAATTTTTTATTTTGATTTTTATTCTTGTTTTCAAATCTGTAACAATACATTTCAAACATATTTAATAATTAAAAAAAAAAAAGTATAAATAATCTATGTTTTTTTATTAACTTATTTTAATTATTTATGTTTTAAAAAAATAGTTATTGGTATATTTGATTTTTTTAAATTATTCTCTAGTTTCTCTAGCTACAAAATTATAGCTGTTTTTGTGATGACTTATTAGCAAAATAAGTAATTAAATAAAAAATAAAAAATAATCAATGTAACTTATTTGAGCGATTTAAACACGTTAACATGGTAATTGTAAATAAAACTTTACCAACTGTGATTAAATAAGATCCGAAACATATTTTTGTACATTATAAAGCATGGCATCAAAAAAATAAGAATGGAAAATCTTCTTTAAAATATTTAAAATTACTGATTTTTTATAAACTTCTTTAATTTTAATTTAACGCTACAAAATTATAGAACTAAAAGTAATATTTAAAACTAATTATAGAAAATATAGAACTAAAAGTAATATTTATGACTAATTGTACATTAATGGTAATGGTGCCTATTAACTTCTGCTAAACTGTTTTTGTTTGAGATTTACCAAATGTTCAGCAAATATTGTACTGATTTAGTAGTCTTGCCTGTTTTACGTCCGTTGCCAATTAATATCCTTTGCCAATATCCAATATTCTTTGATGTACTGAAGTTTTGTGGAATTTAGTGAAACTCTTTTGGTACAAAATTAATCTTTCTCATTTACTTTTTTCTCCGAAGTTTTTTTTTCAGCATAGTGGCACAAAGTCAGGCTAAAACAAACAGAGCCTAGTATGTATTTGATTAAAAAGCAAAACGCGCTTTTGAAAACACTCATAAATACATATTTCTGATATCTAATTTGATGACGTCACAAAGACACTAGTTATTTTGCCTCTATAATTTGCTTGCCGTGAAATTTTTTTCATACTTGCCCAATATTTTGTTTTAAAACTTGTTAAAACAAAAGCTACTATGGTATAGCATTATAAATTGCTATGCCTAGCGGGATTAAAATCCCGTGAAGTGTATTGTATTATATAATATCCTTTAGCTAGTTCGATGGATAAAGTTTTCTGAAACCTTTTTTAAATCCTTCCAAAAAGTTTTTTTTTTCATCGTTTTTATAAAATAGATATATCTCCCCTAAAACTTCAAGAATCACAAAATAAAAGAGAAACTTTCAAGAAGTTTTCTAGGATAAAAATGAAATCTGGAAAAAATGTGAATTTATATCAAATAAATATTTATCATATTGTGATATATATGATATTTACATACGTGATTTTAAAGTTTTTTGTATGTGTCATTTTGAATTAAGTACTTTTTTAACAAATACTGCTTTATTCAATAATTTTAAATTTAAAAAAAGTATTTTTAAGGTTCTCAATAAACATAAAAAATAGTAAAGAAATACTCACGAAGTGTTTCACGAATATAGGAAGTAGAAAGTAATACGAACAAAAAATTAAGTCCAAAATATTTATTTAGAGTCATTACAAAGTTTTGCTACGCTTCTAAACCTAAACTTTGTTTCTCTTTCTGTCGAACCTTTAACTCTGCAAGTGTTTTTAAATTAGATAGTAAAAGTAAATGTATTGATAAAAAATAGTATTTTTATTATTAATGTTTTTTAATTATTCATGTTTTAAAATGGTAACTGTTGGTAAACTTCATATCTGGTCATTTTAACAATTTGCTGATTTACAAACATAGATAACATTTACTCACGTATATATAAAAATATAAATAACTAAAAAAAAAAAAAAAAATAAAATAAAATTTTTTTTTTTTTTAAATTGTTATCTTGGAATTTAGAAAAAAATTTTGTCAAATTTTATTTAAACAAGGACATATTCATCTATTTTTTTGTATTTGAAAAAATTCAACATTTCGATGCTAAGAAATTATTCACTGCGCCATGGCATTGAGTAGCCGTAGTGCAGTGGTTAAAGTTCTGGTTCAGAATCCAGAGGTCCGATATATATATATATATATATATATATATTATATATATATATATATATATATATATATATATATATATATATATATATATATATATATATATATATATATATATATATATATATATATATATATATATATATATATATATATATGTATAATAAAAGGTAATCAGTTGGAAAGTTTCTTAACTTCAAAATTTAAGCGTTTACTTTCGATAACAGTTTGTTTTGACAAACAAAATAAAAAATTTCAATAAAATATCATAACAAAATGAGTAATGCGTTAATACAATTTGTCAAGCAACAAACAAAAGTAGAAACAAAACAAAAATGTGTTTAAGAGAATTTATCCAAAGCATTATTAACAAAAAAATTTCACAGGTTTTAAAGATTTTTTTTTTGTTAAAAACTTGAAAAAAACTTTACAAACTCACCGTACCTTTGAACCCTTTTTGAAAATTATTCCATAATTTTGAAACTCGATAGAAAATGCTGTATTCTGAGTATTTATTTATTATCCTAGGCAGTTTATATGTAAAAATCCACCGCATTTTAAGTTAGTTGCAGTAACTATATTAAATTTGCTGTTTGATATTTCTGCATATTGTTAGTTGACATAGTTTGCAATTTTTTCAACTAAATATTTACCGTATTTGTCTCAACATTAAAATACATTTTATGCTATCATAATTTATTTAACCACCGCCTTTTTAGATTTTATGTTCAAGACTTTTCCATATGGCAAGATAACATTCTTTATAAATTTCTAAATATATATTTTTTTCTAATGCACTTTTGATGGGATTAGGTGGACCAATCGAATCACAATTGAAAAATCTCTAAACAATAAAATTGCCATCCCCAAGTTTAATTGTTGAAATTTAGTAAGAGCAAATCTTAAACTTTTTGGTAGTATATATACCGGATACCATCGCTACCAAATATGCAAAACTTTAATTCGTCACTGAATAAGTCTATTCTTTTTAAGTTCAATGCAAGTAATATTTTGAAAATTTGAAAAAAAAGCTAATCAATTCTTTTATAATATTAATAGTTTCTTTGCAGAACGACGACTAAACAAACTATGATGACACAATTTTTTTAGTAACAACACTTGACACTATTGTTTTTGCTTAAATTAGCACTTAATTTACCAGCTTTTTAGTAAAGATTTTGTTTTGTTTGTCTTAACAAAGTTCCGTTTTGATGTTTAATGCCGTTGTACATATCACTGTTGATTCAACGTTGATCGAGTGCTTCCGAGAAGTGCTGATTAACCGTTGACTGAATGAAGGATTTTGTTAACACTTGCAACGCTGTTTTACAGTTGCTTTATCAACAATGAATCACTGTTGCTTTGTTGTTATTAATTTTACGTTAATGGAATGCTTTTTAGATGTATTGATTAACCGTTAACTGACTGTAGAGTTTTGTTAACATTAGCAGCGATGCTTATAGGATATTTTTTATAGTCGATTCAACCTAATTAAAAAAGTTAATTACTCGCTCAATTGAATAATTATATAACAATAATTAAAAAAACAAGCTTTGAAGCGCATTTTTTATTTTATCTTATCAAAACTGCACATTTGCTCAATAGCTGCAAATTTTCAGTTTTGACTATTTCCTATAAGAAATGGTTATAACTAAAAATTTACAGCTGCAAAAAGTATTGAGCAAAAGTGTATATTTGTTAAGATAATATAAAATATTTTTATAAAAAATAATGACTATAGTCATTATTTTTTATGAAAATATAAAAAATGACTATATTCATTATTTTTTATTTTTGAAAATCCAAATGACCCTTGTATACTCTAATCATGTCCACTATAGCGAACATTCTGATTAGGGTATACCCTAATGACTAGCGAATACCTTAATCATGTCCACCATAGTGGACATTATGGTTAGAGTATTCTAGAACATTGGATTTTTCAAAAATATAAAATAATGACTCAGAAATTGTTGAAACTAAAACTTTTGGGTGCAAAGTAAAATTATTTTGTCATTTAATAAAAAACAATATCAAATTAAGAAATATGATATTTTCTGCATTTTTAATATTTTCAAAGTTTAACAATGTTGTTTGATTGTTTGTCGGTCGTTTGACGTCTGAACAGGATCCCATGCATACTACGCGACTTTCCTATGGGGGTTGTAATTTCACAATTTTTACCAGATTTATCCTGTATTTTGATAGCCTCCGAAAAAACAATAGAAACAAACAATGATGTGCCGAAATAATGACAAAATCAGGACAGATTTATGTCCATTACGCCCCATGTTTTAAGGAGCCCCACAACACATTCAAGGAAAATTTTAAAAGAAAAAGAGTCAGAAGAGCACTTTTTAATGCATTAGAGGTTTAAATAACAAGTAGTAAAATCGGACCTAAGACTTCGTGATCTGGCCCATATTAGAAAAATACTTAGTATTATAACTATTTTTATTTAAGTTTAACTCTAAATTCTCATCTGGCACTAAGAGGTAAAATGTGCAAATACTCAAAGATGAACTTATTAATAACAACAGAAAACAGTATATGGCACGTTTCACAAAATTACACTTTTTGATGACTGCCTTTTATATTGAAAAGACTTGAAGTCTCATCACTCATAACTTTTTTTCAAAACATTGTACGTAATATCCATGGTAGATTTTCCACCAACTTTGCACAGCGATTCTATAAATAAAAAATCAAAAAAAAAAAAAAAAATTATTTTATTTATCAAAATTAAATAAAGTTACATAATTTTTATGAGAGTAACATTCCAAAAAAAAAGTTAAAAAACAAAAATAATGTATAATTTCTCCCTGCGCAAGTCTTATTTTTCCTATCACATAAAAAAATAACTTCCAGATACAAAATTTCATCATAACTTCGTTTAAATAAATGTAATTGTTTAAATATTGACTTAAATCATTGCGACTAAATGAGGCTTTAATTTTGTTAAAGTTATTTTCAAGTCGTGTTTTTGCTGTTAACATTATTCGTTTAAAAGCTCGCAAAAAATTTAAAAACAACTTTGCTTTACACAAGCTTCTATTGGAATAATAAAATAATGCTTTTAATCCTACACTTGGAGGTCTTCCGTAAATTACGTCACGCTAAGAAGAAAGGGGGGGGGGGGGAGACGCATGCAATTTTGTGACGATTTGCTACGAGGAGGGAGGATGGGGATTCGATTTTGCGACGCAACCTATTTTTTTTTGTAAAGACGTTTTTTTTAATTAAAAGAGTATCTGACCAAACCAAAATTCTCAGTTGATGTATCTACATGTTGATTTTAAAATAAACTATGGACTGTGACGGCTGTTTGAGCAGTGCACGTTCTGCGCTTTGAATTTAAATGGTTCAAGTGCAGAACTTAATTTATTTGGTGCACAAAAGTGTGCATCAACAAAAAAACAATCTTAGTCCAATAACTCAAAAAAAAAAAAAAAAAATCTTTTCGATAACGAGAAACGAACCAGAAACCCTCGGTTTTCTAGCCTGAGGCAGAATCCAGTCGACCACGCTTAAATCGCATGTTAAAAGAAAATTAAAATTCATAATTTATTATTTTTGCATGAATATTATGTTATTATTTATTATATATATATAAACATATATTTATATATATATATATATATATATATATATATATATATATATATATATATATATATATATATATATATATAT